TCTAAAGCCTGTTAAGCCTGCCTCACCCAGGTCTGACTGTTGTGATACATAAACAATGCAGATATCATTCTACAAACACACTGCTGGCTTAAAAGTTACTATTGCACACTTTACTTGAGATTCACCTACGCAGCAGTGAAATGGGCAGCCCGCTGAAAAGCTGATTCTGACCTTTGTCTGCCTCGGCACACATGGGGATAAAGCGTGCTGTTTGCCATGAGGTGCTTAAATACTCATTCGGCATCTCCCAGGGGTAAGAGATTTTAATTAATATGGCCACAGCCAGCTCCCGTGAGTTTGTCCTTTCCATTAGGTTGGATGGATGCACTCTTCTGGCTGAGACTGGGCTCAATCCAGTTCAGTATAATACAGTACACTAAGATTGTGAACTCTGAAAATTTCATAATCCATTTTACTGGTCTGAAATACCCCCCCCCCCCTTTTCTCAGGCACTTAGTTTTCTTCAAAGTAGATGACTTATAGGTATCTTAACTCACAAAAGCTAGTAAGGTTGGGTCTAGAATGGGAGACATCTAAGGAACATCAGATTGGTTATGAAAGTGATGTAGGCAGCACTGCCAGAACAGATAGCCCTTATCGGAAAGCCATTTATCCCTGAAAAGGCTTGTGGCAACCCACAGCCAAACTTGCAAGCCCAGGGCTCAAAGCAGGACTATACCCTGAATGGGATGTCAAGCCAGGGCAGGGCCCAAGTACAAACAGATACAATTCAGAACCATTAATTAACCTAATTCTCACATCTTAGGAATTTGGGAGGAGGCCAGAGAAACTGATGAAAATGTGACACACAGAAAGTTCCCAGGGGCAGACATAATCCAAGACACCTTTAGAAAACCATGAGACAACAGCTCTGACTGCCACGCCATTATCCTTCCTCTGAAGCACAATTTCCAAACCACTGCCCCAGTCCGGCGACAGGGGAAATGGTGCAGTGGGAGATGTGTTGCTTCTGATGCGGCATTAAAATGAAGTTGTGACTACATGCGGTCACTGCACTTCGGACTTCCGTCATCTAACCTACCTAAACGTCATCCTTGATTCAACTACTGATACAGTTTCCCCTGTGAGTGGACAACGAATCCGCTGTTAAATGGAGGTACTAGAGCAGAAGTTTGCAGCAGGTCAGTCAGGTGGGGCCCCTTCAGAGATGAGAAGTGCAAATGCACCTCTGTAATGCATTTATTCTGATTATGTACAAGCATGTTATCTGGGAGACCAGCAACATGGTATCCATAATGCCTGTCAGGAAATTCTGGGCTTTTGATACTGCACTGAAAATTTTGATACTGCCCTGTAAGCTATTAGAAAAAGAAGGCAATTGTGATAGCTAGAGAACAGAATGAAGTCATTAAGCATATAATTCCTTATAGTCAACAGTTCAACCCTTTAGTCCTGCAATATCCTTTTGTAAAAAAGTCTCATTCCGTTAACCTAAAACGCATAATTATGTAGTCTAGCAAGATTCTAATAAATATTTGAATTAATTTGAGAAACTGATATATAGCCCAAATTAAAAGGTTTACTGTAGTCTATTGTTCATGCATATCTCACAATTATGTGAAAACAATTAAACTGGGACTAAATTTAACTTAAAACTGAAAATCATTTTTATATGTGAGGGCTTTATGTAGTAAATAAACACAGAACAGATTAACAGTAAAAAGATTTTAATCTGAATGTTAGTTCACTGTAGTAAAAACTTGTCTTGGCCTGTGGATGGTGCTGTTTGCACGCAAACAATCTTGCTTACAGTAAAGACATGAAGAAACAGTATAGGATACATGGCAAGCTCACCAAAATACCACCAGGAATTAGTTTGAATTAAAAAAACTATTATGTCACTGAAATTGCACAGAACACCACATGATTCAAATACTTTCACATAGTGGGTTTGAATGAGACACATGTCAGAAATAAAAAGGACTGTCCTTTTATTTTTTTAACCAGTGATTTACCTTACAGGCCTTATAGCTTCTTAGATGCCAGAATTGCAGAAGAATGCAATGAAATAAGAAGCAAGTTAAATGTATGTGTGAAAAGACAGACCAGGAACATTGGCGAGATGTATTACATAAGCATCATGTTTCCAGAATCCTTGCTACTTCTTTTTTTTTTTTCATTTCGATCAGTTCCAAAGGGGAATCTGGAACTATATTTCCTGCAAGCCCATCACTGGCCCTCTGCTTAAATTTAAAGAGACAGATGAAACTCCAATTGGTTCTTCAGGACCTTTAAGACGTCTATTCAAGAAAGACAGATCTTACATTTTACACTTACTCACAAATATATAGCTGCTTGGCATTTTAGTTTTTGTTGGTATTGAAGAAGAAACAGCTGTTTGTCAGCTAAGAACTCTTTGAAACATTTGACTTATCATATACGCACACTTTTGAGGATTACTAAATCAAGGAATTGTATCTCTGGCAACATTTGTGGGAAAAATAAGAAGACAAAAACGTCTCCAAAACAGTCAAGCCTGTCAAACATTAAGGGAAACATAAAAGGGATGAGAATTTTAATCAGACAGGGCAGGATATTAACAACTGAAAAGATTTTTTTTTAAATTAACAGGGCAACATTGATTAGATTGGAACATATTATTACATTGTTCCTATCCAATCTAATCAATTA